GGCCATGGCCTTCTATTATGGAAATTCACATCGCTCTTTTCAGGGTGGCCTTCTATTAGGGGTGGCCTTCTAATAGGACTTTTATGGTAAAAAATTACAATTTTTTTTTGTTAGTTGCTGATTCTGTTTTTCTAGCTCGACAACTGAAAATTGAAATTTGTTTAGACTTTTTGAGCTAATGCTTCCCATGTAGCCGATTTTATGAAATAATGGGCATTGCAATGCATTATTTTACAATAGAAATGCAATGGATGCAATTACATGATAATGCAACCTATTTCATGCATTATTTTTAATTAATCCATTGCAATACATTGATTTATCAACGCATCATAATGCATTTTTTTTTATAATAATGCATTACAATGCATTGAAAATTTAGGCATTATCCTTCATTTTCAGCATTATTAGAAATAATGCATTGAAATGCATTGAAAAGTCAAAAAATAATTAATTATAATGCATTAATTCATGTTTTTCTGCAAATAATGGAAAATAATGGATCATTTTCCATTATTCCTCCATTATCGGCTACATGGGTATTATATTTAATCAACAAATATTAGTATACCTATCCGATGTCTGGCACCACAAATACTTCAAAGAACAAAAAAGTTTTTATATGTATTCAAAAGATATGTAATCGTACCAAAGCAAAAGAATTGAAGCGATCAAATAGGCATATTAAACTTTGTTTTGTTTTGACAGCTTTTGGAAATTGAACATACCTCTTTAAATTTATAGCAAAACCAAACAGGAGTGCGGTGGAGATCATACATGATCTCTCAAAATGCTAAGATATTTATAAAACTAGCACAGAATATTTATGTAATATCCAAACAATTCATTAGAAAGCCATGGCCTTCTAATGTGACTTTTGCAAATATGACTCAGGGGTGGCCTTCTAATGGGGGTGGCCTTCTATTCTGGGGTGGCCTTCTATTCTGGGGGGGAGTTTAGGCACTTATCTATGTTGAGAATATTTTAGTTGTAGAAAGCCCCATGATATTTTCCTTGTCTTCAATATATACGTATATATGTATGAACGTATATAACAGCAACTGATATTTCTATTAGATGAAGGTCTTGATCTCTACGTAGAATACGACAGCTAAACTTTGAACAGTCGAATGTGGCATAAGTCCCTTGACTCTTCGGTTCTATTGTTAAAGAAACTTGATGTCAATTCTAAATCTTGAGTTTAGATCAAATTTATAGTTAGTAGACCAATAGTTTTACTAAACTCAACATAATGTTGTTCTTTGAAAGAACATTTCTGATTGAGTATACGATTTATCTAGTAATAAAAACACTGCGAGTCCATACTTCCATGAATTTGCGATAAGATGTTCAACAAACACAGTCAAATCAAACTTATTCGAAAATTAGCTGAAGAGATGCTAGTTTTATCTTATTTTTTTCAACATTTGACTTGTTTTCAGTCCAAAAAAATTCTTTTTTAATGATGAAAGTAAAGCGATTGTATAAAGGTGAGATCGAATTTCGAATGATTTTGGAAGCTAAAATGACAAACGTTTGTCTTCAATTGCATTCCATTCTCTTTTCATGTACAAAAATAACGAGGTGGAGTATATGATTACTAGAGTTCTGTGAATATCCCTTTTTCTCTATCCGAACCTGAGAAGATGAGCAGTAACATCATCTGTTTCTATCTTTCACCAATTGCGGTATCGTATGAAAGTCTAAAAGCCTGAATGTCATAATTAAATTTTATTCGAATGCTCTTCAAAAAACCTCATAGTACATAAAATCATGTTTTTGCTAGTAAAGTCGAAGGAGAACCACTTAAAAAGCTTTCATTTTACAGAAGAATATTTAAAACTCTCTTGTGATCAATCAAGTACCACCAATTACTAGATTGAGTTTTATTATTTGTGATAGCTCTTCGTTGTTTCACATAGTCTGAACTTTGTGAGACAATACCCACTATATGATTGTTTTCTTATTATAATGAGTGAATGTTTACCTTCAACATTGATGTACTAAGGATCTTTATTGAGATGCTCTTTTATTTAAAGTGTCTCAATATGAACAGTATGAGCATAAGATCAGTCGACGTGATGAAGAGAAACTTAGCTTTACTCAGAGCGTACAATTCTGTTCTGTCACAATAATGTTTCCATGGATCAAAAGCTTATACAAAACCTTCAAAGTTTTTATTTCAAATCGATCAAATTAAATAGACACTTATAAACAATACCCCGCGTTCTAGCACAGAATAAAAAAAAAACCTATCTGAAACATACTAAAACAATGCAAGTGAATTTCTGACTTGTACGTACAGAATTCTCTAAATCGACCGATTTTGAGTTCATAATACTATGATAGAGGATACTTAATGTGAAAATGTTTCCATAAGAATCATGAGTACATCAAAATGGGGGATGGCAATTTACTAATTAGAACAATCAAATCAAAATGGAAATGTACTTTTTAATATCTGAAGATTATGGTGGCTACTCTCTCACACAGTTTGAATTATGTGAAACACTGAACAGTCAGCACATGTCAGAAAATTCAACTTTGTGACAATTGATTGTCGGATAGTGAAATTTCTTTGTTCAGAAATTTTACAGGACTAAAAGTTTGAAATGAGATCGATGGCGTTTGAAAAGTCACAATGTAGTTTTAGTTTTCACTGTTCCTTAGCAATTATTTATCGAGCACTGTACTTGAATATGAAAGTTGCCTTGTATTTCCAAATGCCTCTATAGATTTTAAAATAAACTTGCTGAGAGAGTACTTTGCGAAGCCAGAAACTAACAAGTTGTGCGTTGAAATAAAATGTGTATGCACTTAAAATGGTGTCCTTATAATACTGCCAGTAAATTTTATTTCAAAACAAAAAAAAGACTCCTTTTTAAGATTCACATCCTCGTTCTAGTTGCATAGTTACAGGTTATTTTCACTGGGAAATATGTCACAGATAGTTAATATACAGTAAAATAGAAGAAATTGTGTGTCATTTTTTTCTACAGTGCCACTTTTGGTGACAGATGCGCTCAAATTACATTCTAAGTTTTGCAATGTTGTGACCGAACAGTGTGAATTTATAATTGCTCATAGGTGAAATAAATCATGATGCATATTGTAATTAAATGATATTGTAACATATTATAATAGACCGAAAAATTATGAATGAAGATATTCGTGCAATTCTACTATTGAATTTGTCATTTACGCAGATCTGCAGCTAGCTTTTGAAAGATCAAAAAGAGAGAAAAAAATTCGCCAAAAATCTAGATTTGACATTCGAGCTTCTCCAAACAACTACCTTCCTAGTTAAAAGTCTTCAAATGAGATATTAATGAAATCTATAATCTTCTGTTTAGAAATGTATACCAATTTAAAAGAATTTTTACGGTTCCCATAAGATATTTGAGAGCTGTTTCATAAACCTTATTCTTCAACTGTTGTTTGAATGGACATTCAGTATGGAAATCACTGCTCTTGAAAGTCCATATATTTTAAAATATATCATAGGTCTTCGTTATCAATTAATTTAGAGAATCTAGTGATTTGGAACCATATTAGCAGAACCTATCGGGATCGATTTGGTCTCGGTTATTGCATTTGCTAAATTAATTGATGATAACGACTTATGATATATGTTTGAAATTTATAGGTTCAAAGAGCAAACATGTCGGTATAAAATACGCAATCAATCAACACTCTCTACTGCTAGACATGTCATTCACACTTGTAGCTTATTACGAAAGAGAGTTCACTTTTTGACGGAAGCAAACGATCGTACATCAATATGATTCGCTTTGTGATTGACTTGTTCATTATTATCCTTTCTGTGTTTTTTCAGTTACTAAATCTTGATTGAAAATGGCCGGAGGCGCTGTTGTCACACCAGTCGCAAATAATGGTACTTTCCTTAAAGGTCGCCAACTTATAATTCCTTTATCTTTGGTTACTTCACTCTTCTTTTTGTGGGGCTTCTCATACGGTCTGCTCGACGTTTTAAATAAACATTTTCAGAATGTTCTCAAAATTAGCAAGCTCCAGTCTACCGGACTACAGATCGTTTACTTTGGTGGTGGGTACTTTTTCTTTTCGCCGATCGCTGCTGAAATACTCAAACGGAAAGGTTACAGAATAACTATTGTCACAGGCTTGATCCTGTTCGCTATCGGTGCTATTTTCTTCTGGCCAACTGCTCACTTTTCAAATCCAGACAATTCTATGAAAGCATTCGGCGGTTTTCTTGCTTGCACATTTATCATTGCTTGTGGTCTTGGAGCTCTGGAAACTGCAGCAAACTCATATGCCACTGTTATTGGTCATCCAAAATCTGCTTCAATGCGCTTGCAATTTTGTCAGTCATGGAATGGCGTAGGATCGTTTATTGGTCCATTTGTGGCATCTAAATTATTCTTTTCGGGCAGTAATGCTAACAATCTAAATAGTGTTCAATACGTCTATCTAGCTATAGCCTGTTTCATTACATTACTTACCATTCTCTTTATCGTCGTCAAGTTACCCGAGACTTCACAATCGGATAGTGACGACAAACTTGCCGATAACACAACTAAACCATTGTGGAAGCAATACAACATGATCTTTGGTTTCATTACTCAATTCTGCTATGTTGGTGCTCAGGTAAGAAAAGAATGTGAGTATGGATATGAGATGAGTGTGGGTGTAAGTGTAGGTGTGGGTTGAGATGTGAGTCAACAGAATTCCCTCACCAAAACCTTCTACTACAGATCGTAGCAACTGTAGAATAGGTTTTTATGCTTCCACTCGTATCTTTTAAAGAAATATTGCTCAATCCTTGTAAACTTAATCTGCAGACATTTTGATTGATGCAGGTCACAATTGGTTCATTCTTCATTAACTACGCTACTGAAAATGCAGACTTTTCGGATGCCGAAGCTTCGAACCTTCTCTCGTATTCACTGATTACGTTTACAGCTGCTCGATTCGTCGGTACTGCTTTGGCACATTTCTTTGAATCTAGCTTCATTCTTATGGTTTATTCAATTTTGGCCACTGCTTTTTCGATCTATGTTTCACTGGGTCATGGTCGAGCCGCCGTCGGCGTTTTAATTGGTATCTATTTCTTCGAATCTATTATGTTTCCGACTATTTTCGTTCTTGGAACAGAAAATCTTGGTCGTCACATTCGTCGCGGGGCGGGTATTCTCATCATGGGTGTTTCTGGTGGTGCTGTCTTTCCACCAATTCAAGGTGTCATAGCCGATGTCTATTCCACTCGTATCTCATTTTTAGTTCCTATGGTGGGTTTCGTTGTTGTTTTTGCTTATGCTACTTTTCATTGGCTAAAAACCGGATTCCAGATGAGACATAAACGTTACGACGTGAATGTCACCGTTAGTTCTATTGCTGAACACAATAATACATTGACAGTTGTTAGTAGTCAACAGTCATTTGATTCTGACGACAGTTTAAAAGAAATGTCACTCATAGACCCATCTTACTCACCATCAGATTTTACAGTACTCGCCGCACAAGTCTTAGAAGACACAAATCAAAATAAGATACATACAACAAAGTTTTAACAAATATTGCACTCATTTTACTGACTATTTCAAGGACGGTTGAACGGAAAATAAAGCTCTTAAATCACAAAGAAATATTAGTTTGATTATATTCTGTAGATTGATCTAACAAGTAGTCTTTCTAGTAGAGAATTTTATCCTAATGATGAATATCGCCATCTTATCTGTCTCACTGGTGTCAGTGTATACGTAGGAAGATTTGGTCCATTTAACATTTTCACTCTAACTCGGTCATTTTGTGAAACATGATAATAAAAGAGTGTTGAAGTGCATATCAAGAAGGCACGAGGACACATATGGTTCAAAATCAGCCCACTCACCTTTTCAAAAGACACTCGTTAACATTTTATATGGAATAAAATAGCTGACCAAGATGAGCACTAAGGATATGACAATGGACAAGACGGTGAATTTCAAGATGAAGAGAACATTCACACTGACACCCGATCATTAAATGAGTCTGAGTATCAAGTCAGACTTGTTAAAATTGAGGAAAACACTGTTCCTAACAAATTGGTCATTGACGATGCAACATTGAATATTGCTTCATACAAGCAGCATTCGTTTTGTGTCTATTCGAAGTATCCCAGTAATGTGTTCATAAAGCGTTAAGTACTTTATTTATTGGAAACACCGTTCATTAATTTTGCTGCTTGTTACAGTGAAGAGCAGCATGTCGAAAAACCTGCCACGTCAATAGTATTGACAGTATTCTGATTTCTTAAAAGTTAAAAAAAAAACAACAATAACTGGTGACATACAGTGCGGTGTGCTGGAAAAATGTCGAAAAATTAATATTGAAATGGAGAAGTAACGAAATTGGAAAATATCTAAAATAGATACCTTCAGTAAATAGTGACTCTAAATACTATCTTGATGGTGTAGGTATGTTGTTGAAGAAAGGGATAACACTTACACCTACTCTTCAACCTAAAACATAGTCATATAATCAAACAAGTAGTTATATTCATTTTAAAATATGTTAGTCTTAGTTCGCTTCGCTGCGAAGCAAGATATTTATTTATTTGAGCTAAAGTTTAAAAAAAACGAACGAAACAAAGAAATATGTAGGATATCAAAGCAATGAGAATTTCCATTTTCAATTTTTTTCTTTGTACTAATGCAAGTTTAGTTCGTTTGATGTAGCTCTTGACTTTGATTAAAACTGAGTCTGTTGGCGAAAGTATTTCAGTCAAGATCCCTACTGTTTTCTTATACAATAACAAAGCTTGCTGATATTCATTCTGTTTCATATACGATACCCATGTTTGTGTAAATCGCTGCGATGTCACGATTCATTTCTAATTTTGATATAACGCCGGCGATATTCGTATGAGACTCAATCAGATCAGTATCATTAGTTCGACATAGCTTATAACGCACGAACCAAAGAGGAAAGAGCTTCGTTATATGTCTTATCAGTATTGCTTAAACGAACAATATCTTCTCATTTGAACAGAGTGCTAGTTTCAAGCCACCTTTGGTCAAATAGACTTTTCCCATACTTAATATGTACTACCAATGTTTGCATAATTGAACTGCAGTAGACGTTGTGTGATGTTCAATGCTTTTTCGTAAGAAAACATTCATCATATTCTCTTTAGTCATTCAAAATATCACCGATCATATCATAGCAATAAACAATATTAATATCATCACTGTTTGAGGTCTCACGCAAATCTTTCAAGCATTTAAGAAAGCATGTCGTAGCTCCATCCAAATATCCTGCAACTCGAAGAAAGCTTCCCGTAATATAGAAATCACCCGTCTTGCACATATGTTTTGTCACATCTTCAGCGAGTTTTTTGAAATAGTAGCCATTTTCGTCATCGACCAGAACCAAGCGAATGATATACATATCATCATCTCGCCGACTTATACCCAGCAGACGGAAGATAGAGCCAGTCATAAATAGGATTTCATACTCATCCGGAAATCGACTTCGATAAGTGATGTTAGCAAATAATTGGTTTTTCGTTGGACAACTGAGAATCGGCCTCGGTTTCAAATAAAACACATATGCTTTCATTCGCGATTGTGCCTAAATCGAAAAGAAATTCAGCATATTCTTGATTAAGAGTTGTTGAAAGAAAAGAGTTCATTGAGATGAGTTGACCCTATAGAAGAATGTTGTAGAAGATGAACTTCTTCTTGCGACTTTAATTGACTGCAATAGGCATAAATAAGTGAAGTTAATGTGGATGTGGGTGTAGGTGTGGGTAGTTGTATCGATGTATAGAGATGACATTCTCACCCACACCCTATTGTTTTTGTCAAAAAGATTTGTTTGATGAAGATGAAATTTTTATTCGATTTAAGAACTGCTTTTCATTTCCACATTTTTGTTTTATCTTTGAGAAGAATTTTCAAGAAAAGAATTATTATTAGAAAATATTCATAGTCATGTAGCTATCTTGCCGGCTTTATTTAGTGAGTAAACTTCTTTTTTACATGTTTTATATTCAATTTAAAATTATTCGACGATTTTTATACGATGTATTCGTAGATAATCTAATTAAGCGAATCAATTCTTTTTGAATTTCAATTAAAAAAACCTATTATATTTTCAAATGAGTAGAAAGAGGAAAATGACTAATAGATTTAAAGATTAATTTTTGACATTTTGTTATATAATAAATAATATTGATTGATTTATTAAATGAGTTTGTTTATTTATTTATTTAAGTAAAATTTATTTCTTGATCACATCCTTAGAACAAATTCAAAATGATCAATATATTATATTAGCTTAAATATATCCCTTCATCTATTTTATTGAATACATTGATATGTTTCAAATTTATAATATTCGTTTTTTACTTTGTAAAATAGTTTCATTTTTTTGCTTCTGAATATGATCGATGTTAAATATCAATCAAAGTGATACAAATTTTCCTTGTAAGAAAAATCCTTGCGAGGATTATCTTTCAATAATTTGAAATGCAATTTATTTATACATTATCAATTAGTTTTCTTGAAAGTATGTATGAAAATAACTCGATTAACGATTCGAAAAATGATTTACATTTTTTTAGAAACTTAACAAAAAAAGTTTTTCTGCAGGTACATTTGAAGAAATGTGGATAGATTTATTTTCAATAGATATATTTAATATTTTCCATTTGATACAAACATCGTATTTTTAATGACCATATCCAAAAGACTTTATGGCAACGATTATCCTTATATAGTTGTGGACAAATCTTGCCATTTTTCTAATCATGTCAATCGTTTTTCAAGTCGATATTCGATTTTTTCTTTCATAACTACTTGAGAATATGGGTATGGTTGACGATAAAACTCAACCCAACACCCACACCAAATGGACTAGAAGTTTCTGTTATTTAGACTTTTTTTTACTAACGTCAGTTTATTGTGAAGACATGATCTAGCGTCCGACGATGCGTCAGCTATTGAGTACTGTCGGATCCGATTTTCGACTCTACCTTGTGTCTACTATTTTTATTCTTCTCTTGTTTTACGGATTAGTCTGGACTGGCCAAATGAACAAACGGACTAGACATGACGATATTTAAGGACGCTTTGAACTAGTCAGGACGTGATCGAAGAAAACTTGTTGTCAGCATAACTAGCCATGCCGCATCCGAGCGACGTTTCATACTAGATCTGACGAATATTTCGAACTTTTCGGACTAGTCATGTCGCCCGTCACCACTCACTTTTTGCTTACTTGGGCTACATCCACCCTCTCATCATATTTTTTTCAAAAAAACATCGTGACAGGTTGTGAATGTTGCTAAAAAATACACTAATCCACATTCTCACCCACATTCACTCTGATATTATTTTGTATTTTCTAAAGGCCAGCATCATTTAAGTAATGTTAAGGTGTGCATTATTGATATTTTATCCTGCAATGGAAAGAACAGTGAGAACGAAGCAAAAGCGTTTGAAAGTCAAGCTCGTCCGAGAAGTGTTGGGCTCGTGTTTGTCGATAAGCCTGGGCATATGAAGCGAGAATCATTGCAAAATCTCGCATTTCCAAAAAAATATTTGGTGAAAATATTGTCGAGATAAAAATTACTAATGAAGAGAACTTTTCCATGTATTCTCTCTTTTGGATGATTGACAAAGAATTTCCTGTCTTTTACCTAGACTAAATGATGGAAAAACCACCTTCATGGAAGATAAGAGTACAAACTTTGTGAATCAGCTGCACGAAAAGTCTCGAAAGGAAGAAAAAGGATAATAACATCGACGAAATCGTTCATATTATATACGAATATTACAAGAATGGAAGTTACTTCTTCACAGATTCTGAGGACAACGATGAACTGTTCGATTAAATAACTTCAATAATTAATCATATGAATCCTACATTGTAGAAACCTCTAAATACCATTAGTTAATGCAAATCATTGATTTCATATATCTATAGGGTACAAGATTTAGTCCAAATTCCAATGTCCTCAATGAATTCTGTGTTGTGAGACTAATATCAAGTGATGGAATCAATGTGAATAGTGTTGTCTTACACACACTCATTCAAGCTCATACCCATTTCACACTCATACTCATAGGCTTAGATCTTCAAATTTATTTACGTATATAAACAAAGTGATTATACTGTACGAAAATGTTAAATCATATTTTTGAGTTTTCATTTGACTGAATAGTTTTCTTCGTATCTTGTCCACGACGAATTCGATAGAGCGGACGACTGAAACAGGGCAACCAGAATATGAATTTTAGCAAAATAGTCAGGACCGGAAAGTATAAGCACAACGAAGAAAGACTATACAGTGCTTTACCTAAGGTCTGTGGCATCCAGAATGGTATGCCTACTGTAACGACGTGTCCAATAGCAAGTAATAATGTCACAGTACCTAGTTTTGATTGTATGAAGCGCCACTCTCGCCAATTCAATAAATTACCAATCGCAGGAATACTTGTTATAGCCAGAATCGACATACAAAATAGAGTTAGAACACCTAACAGAGCTGCTAATTCTCCTGTTCCCTTCATCAAGTTGTCGTGAAAGACGAAGCGTGTCTGATTGTGAATGGTCGATACTCTGATTTCAGCACGATGAAACCATGAAGAGAAATAAGCAGGTGATACAAGAATGATCGTGAACATAGAGTGACAAAGAGCTAAAGCAAATGTCAATAGACCAAGTTGTTTTCTACTTAACATCCATCGATCCAACCATGTTGGAAATCGTCTTTCTCGAGTTGCGTAGGCCAATTGAAATATACATGCAAGGTTCGACGGCATGTATACGATGGCTAACATGGTGATGACACTTGGACCTAATGCTTTATTGACCATATTTAAAAAGAGCTGTTCCCACGAAGTTCCTCCATACTTGATAAAATACATGCAAAGTATATAAGTAAGCCAGATGCATAAAATGACAAGTGCGACAAGAACAGGAATCCGCCATTGAGGAAACAGAGATTTAGTATCAGTTTCTAGGCGACGCGCTGCTCGAATGGAACCTGCATTAAATGATTCGAAGTTCATTTCACGTGCTAGTGCGATTACTTTATCTTTGGCGATTGTATGATCACTAGCAACAAGAATATTATGTGGTTCACCCGCTGTTGTACTTTGCATGAGAAATGATGAGATAGTATTGAACGCTTTAACAACAAAGGCATTGGGTATTGCCTTTTGAAGCAGTTCGGCATTGGAAAAATCATTTTGATGTGTTTTGTCAGAGGTTTGATTTGATAGATCAATTAGGATTTTATCGTCAAACAATGATGGTTCTTTTTCCAGACATGATAGAAGAGAATCCATATAGTTTTCCGGATGGATAGCCACGAAGATAATAGGCGAACGTCGAATACATTCAGTAATTGAGACTATTTCATATTTTGTGCCTTGTCGCTTTTCTGGAGAACGACTACCTATTACTACAGTAAATCCACTTAAGAATAAACGGTGGGCCAATGCGAGACCCATGTTTCCACAGCCGACGATACCGACGCATCGATCATCATGCATATTGCAAGTTAAGTGAGACTTGTTGTTTTTGTTTTTTTACGAGCAGGCCTTTTTGGTACTGGACAATATATATTTCTAGCTTCGCAATAATGGATTAGAAAGAGAAACAATTACAAGAGAATAATATCGAAAGAGATTATGCAAAAAGACAAAATGTTAAATGAGAATAATCTCGAAAGAGATTATATGAAAAAGAAAATATCAACGATGACAGTACGACATGTGTTTAGTACAGGATAAACGAGACATAGCTTCTCAAAGGCCAAGTAGCTACTGAATGTCAGTTTGAATCTCAACGAAAATATCAAATTTCCACCCATATTCACAAGACAACAGTAAGAGATAAAAATTTCTCTGCATTACATCGGATGTACGACAAACACAAGTACATCAAGTACAGGTATTTTCGTTCAACCTCTGAATTATAATTCGTGATTGCGATAAGACAGTCGAATAATCGCTATGAAAAAGCAAAACATTATTCATATGTTTTTATTTTCTTTTGAACTCTAATTAAATTGAACACCATATAATTTCAACAGAGTTAAGCTCAGTTTTTACAATAAATTTAAGTAACATGCCTTCAAAGTCGAATATCAAAGCTTGAGATATATTATTACTTTTTTTAATGATCATGCATCAATTCAAACATTAGAATCTTTAATGTAGGACATCAAAGACGATGACAATATTTATATGTATAACGACTATTTTAATTCTATGAATATAAGTCACGATGTTGCAAAATTCGAATATCTTCGATTTACAGCTCGGTCACGTCCATCTAATCTAATGATAGAATAAGAGACCTTCAATCTGTCAGTTTCGTTTATATTCAATTTACAAATAATATTAAAAATAATTTGTCTTTCAAAAATTGGCACTCTTCTCATTTGAGTATGATAAAATAAATACACAAACTTATTAAATCCCAGTGCTGATTATCTTGTTTCCTTCTTTGTTTATTTAATTCATTTTATAATTGACCAATAATAATTTAGTAGTTTCGAATATTTTTCACGACGAACACTATTATACTTCACAAATAATGATAATGATACAATAATTCATGATTTACTTTCGCAATGCTAATAACCAGAGGTTATTCATAGTTTTATTCATAAACGAGATGACATTGTTACTGATCGAGCTTTTAATTTTAGACATATGTTAGAGATCTAATATTGTGGAAAAAGAAAAATAAACAGTTCTTACTACCTAACTTTCTTTCGTTTTTTACTTGTAGATTTTCGATGAATCAGTTGGTGGGTCACGAATAATATTTACAAGTTGCTTAAAAGAAATAGACTTTGATCAAATACTCATTGGCTGTAAAGTTCAATTATCAACTTGATGCGATGTATTGAACATTAGCTTCATCGGCATTAAATGATACATGTAATTAACTTGATTTATTATTATCGATATTAACTTTATCAAGTATATTATCAAGACTTGTTATAAAAGAATTAGAAAAATAGAGACAAAAATAAAGACTCTGTGTATAAGAGTGTCGGTGGTTGAATACAAGTGTAGGCATGGTCACGAATGAACTCGAAGCCACAGCCATATCTTTTTATTTCAATTATACCGTGCCATCGAAGACGAATGAATTGGTCAGAAAAGAACGAAAATATAAAGTTAACATTTCGAAATGTGTCATATATATGCCAAAGAAGCGTTACAACCACAAGGTGCTGACCAAAGATCATATTATAACTTGTTAGTGATAAACACCTCAACTTACGTAGCTCATTCTATAAAGCATAAAAATATCTTTGTCATACAGAGATGCGACACAAATTATTCGTACGATAAATAAAATCTAATTTTTTTGCTTTTGTATTTTTAGATGAACTTGATAAAACCATCATTAATAAAGGAGAATGCAAATAGGGTTTCAGTAAAAATATTGTTTAGAAAATAGCCTAAAGAGTTCTTATTACGAACATTTTGAAAATTTTGTTTACACAGTCACAGTCAATATTTTAAGACATGCATCGTCCGTTTTTCAAAATTTTCATTACTACTTTTTGAATAACTCTGGATCGTTCGTATCTATCCAGCATGGATTTCTATCATTAAGTAGGACAATCTGAAAAGACTCTCATTGGTATAAAATCTACTACATTCGATGATATTTTCTATGTTGCTTTCGAAGAGAGAGTCAACAATCTAGAATTGCATGCCTTGAAATATTCATTGTCACTGTGTAAACGAAATTTTCAAAATGTTCGTAATAGGGACTCTTTAGGCTTTTTTCTAAACAATATTTTTACTGAAACGTCACTTGCATTCTCCTTTACTAAGGATGATATTATCAAGTTCATCTAAAAATACAAAAGTAAGAAAATTAGATTTTATTTATCGCACGAATAATATTTGCCGCATCTCTACATGACAAATATAGAACGGTATCAAAAGGCTAGTATCGTAGATTGTGTCATAGGGCGTAAAGCTATATGTTCTATTTTGTCAATTCCTTGTACTTTTGGCCGTCTCATATATATATATATTGGCAATACATTTTCAAATGTTGTATTCCATTATATTACGCATTTACCGTGTTATAAATCTTAATTCCCAGTCATCATGTAATCTTAACACATTTTTTATTGGACAATAGTCAATCGTATTCAATTACTGAACATCCTTTTCTTACAATACTTGACGGCAGCAGTGGAGATACTAAGTATATTGAACAATTTTAAATGAAGTACAGACATATATACCGTGTCTAAACTAATTCACAATCAGTTATGATAACATGAGGAGTATTAAAAAAAGAATTTTACAAGAGAAGAACAGCAACAGAATTGTGCTAAGGTGAAACGATTAATTATGTTAAAACCCTTGCTACATCTAAAAGAATTCTACTTTTACTTTCCTTATTAATAATATGTACAAAAATCTTGACTGTTAATGATTATTTCTCATCTAACAGTAACTTTTATGAAAAGTCACGTACTTGATGTGTTAATTATGCTATACTAACAGTGTATAAGAAAATGTTATATAGATGTAGTCGAAAATTCGAAAACTCTGCTAGTTTTATCGAGTAATAATGTACAGTTTTCAATTATTGAGGAGGGGGACACATGCTCACCCACCTCCACAGCTTTTGATAATGATTTTATTTACGTGTATAATCTTATCATCTTTTAATATTAAAGAAACATACATCGTTCAACAAAATATAGTTCAATGAGTCTCAATAATGGACAAGTGACTACTGTAAAAATAAATCCAACTTCAAAGGCAGCATCTGCACCTTGTGCATTTGTATCTCGTGCAATAACTTATGCAATTAGTCCATTAAACCAAGTTTGTGACATTCCAAGTGCAGTACCAATAATTCCAAAAATTCCAGATAGAATTATAGCTAAACTAATTGGTAATAGCTTATAACTATGCAAGATATCAAAATTATAATTTTTAAATGAACAACGTCGAAATAATAGATGATCTTCCAATACAATAACAATAAATATCGTAAAGAAATATGAAGATACACCCATAATCGATGTTAATGAATCATTAAATTTATGTGCAGCAACAATAGCTAATGGAATATAGACTACAGTACCAATAACTGTATGCAGAAAACGTGGTATACGATTAAATATTGGTGCAATTACTTGTGCAGATAATGATAAAGAATAGATGTTTGGTATATTACCTGCAATAGTTGACAATGCAAATAAAATTAGTAGAAATTTACCGAAACCACCAAGAGACGATAGACTAGCACCAAATAATCCACCAATACTGTTTGTTTCATACGCATGGTTTCACTTGTCGTTTGTATATGTACCAGTATAAACAGCTGCACCAAGTAATTGTATTGGAATCATCGACAGAATATTACCAAGATAAGTATAAAGAAAGACTTTTATTAGACTTGTAGCTTCAGGAAAATATGTATTATAATCAGCCGAATATGTAGACCAACTAATTGCAGTACCAAAACATGTTGCTCCAAAATTTAGAATACGGACGACTTTCAGACGATGACTACTGTCACTTGATATAGTTATATTGTGAGATACCTACGTAGGATGTAAAAATACAGAGTCTCATTCATTCATTCATTTTAAAACTTCTCATATCAATTAGCAGCATGGCCTCACTTAAATGTGAAGTCGATAGTGAGAACAAACGAGAGTTTCTCCGTCTGTCTTCTTTAAATAATCCTGCATGTTGGCAACACAATTTTTTGGCAGGGTTTTTAGGAAAAATAAACATTCTTTCTACAATCATATCTTTACATAAATAACGTGTTCAACTAAGATGTGAAGTTTACAAGCAGCTCATGTTTTCCTCTACTTTTTTTCGATTTTGATCATATGGCTGATTTTCACTTGACAGTAAAAGATCAAAATTTACTGTTGCCGAAAATTCTGCTTTGTTTTAAAAAAAAATACAAAAACTTTTCTTTTTTAGAATTAAATAAGTCAGAGAATAGACTTCTGCACAATTTGCGGATATTACCATTTCAGAATTTGTAAAATACTTAGCACCAACTCCCGCCAATATACAATATCCTATGCACACCGGTATCCATGAATATCGTTCATAAGTATGAATCCATTTATAACCTATAAGTGAGACGATCATTGATGCAATACCAATAATGATAATACCGACAGCTACCGGTAATGAATCATTAAATACAACATGTAATGTTTGAGCACCAGTAATACTATTAATAGCTGTCCAACCGATTGCAGCAATAACATTAATAATTGATACTATCGAAGCACCATAATAACCCCAACTGTAACGAGAAAAGATCATTGTACGTAGACCAGATGCTGGACCAAAGCAAGCCATTACTGCTACCGGAATAAAACCAAGTAAATTGAAAAAGATAATTGTTGCAAATGAATCGTAAAGATTTAATTTGAATACTGCTGGGCCAAGTGTACCGCCAGCAAAACACGTTATAATTAGATTTGCACTGACCTAATAAACAAAGATGAATAATCTAAACTGCATATTTTAGTTCAATAGTTTTGATAAGTACTTTAAGCTGTTTTCCTTTCTGATGAAAATTTCAAAAGATTATTATTCAATGTCTTGTAATTTCATAGTATTTCTTATGATTATCATTTTGGTATATTTCCAAAACCAGAACAGATCGAGAGTGATCAGACCAGCAGCCATTTAAATGGAGCACGCATTTTCATATATTCTGTTAGCCGCTATGACTGAATGGTTAAGATGCTTGGCACATATCCAATGGATATGTGTTCGAACCTTGGCTCCGTCAGTCATAGAATGACCCTGGACAAGTCACTAACGGCTTATTTTGTCTCGGTTTACCCATTCGATAACAAACTGACTACGTTGTCGACATACATTATAGTCTGAATGGCTGGTATATAGTTAGTCAGTGTGTATGGGAAGCTTAAATAATTAAGCGAGAAAAACTCTGAGTCAGGCTGGCCTGCTGTCGAGAGCTACATTTAGCAATGGATGTAGGAAAACATCGGACCTATCGAAACTGTCCTTGGACAGCACCCCATGCCGCAAGGTAGCCGAAAGGCAGGGTATCTTCTTCTACATTCTGTTAAAAAGATTTTTCTTTGAAACTGACAAAAGTGATCTCGCTCACACATCTTTCTCCTAATCAAAAGCGATTACAGTTAACTATTTCTTACGCACATTAGATTTACTGAGGTCTAGAATAAAATAAAGGCAAAGACATTTAGATTTCTTACCCATATTATTGCCGTGTTGATAATTGTCAAATCGGTTCGATGCTCTGGTAATATTCGTTCGATACCGCGTGTTTCTACGTTGAGACAAGCAAGCTTTTTCACAATCTTCTGAAAATAATTCGTAATAGAATTACGCTTTCCACGGGAAGAACTTGTATTCGAGCCAATACTATGATTATCGTCATTGGTACGAGTGCGTTTGAGTTCAATTTCATATTCATTGGAAACTAAAGACACAATCGTCGATACTGTTGGTATGCGATGATCATTCAACATTTTCAAATTTTATCTAAATGATTATGTCTTCACAATTCATAAAAATCAATCAACATGATATTAATAGAACGCCAAATATTCATTCATTTGATCAATCAAGAAAGCACATTTGTAATTACTGTTCGAAACATCCAAAAGAGTATCTCTTCTATGTAATCTTCCAAGCTCTATCAAAATCTGAACGAATAAAAATCATTGTAAACATTTATCACTTCGTAGTTACAAAATAAAAGCAGTATTACGGTAAGGTAATCTTTGGCACCTACATTTTCCATTGCTTGTAGTGCACTGAACAGTTTTGAACTCAAGCGAGGCTATAACAGTTCAACGTAATTGTTCAAGCTCTATCCAAATATATTATTAAAACGATTAAAATACTCCGGAATCACATTGAAAAATCTGATATTCAGACAAAAACACCCTATTCTCCTTATTATCGGTTGACTTTTTCACCTTCTACTATGCATAATGCAATTCTTGTCGTCTCTAGTTTTTTCTGAAAACACATGCAAATGATATAAGGATAATACATCAGAAGTGTTAATCATAAAGAATGTTTTTTGTTGAGATATGAGACAGTCAAGAGATGCATATGTATCACAAGAAAAGTGAAAAATCCAGATTCGTTGAACACATCATAACTCATAAGGTATTCTTTCCTTTTAACTGAAACTTTAGGTATACGATAAGGACAGTAAGATCTTATTGTGGACAATATCTAACGGTCGTTTGCAGCACAAATTAGACACGAAAAGAATTGTATTATGCAGAGTGGAAGGCAAAAAAGTCAATCAATAATAAGGAAAATAACATATTTTTGTTTGAATATCAAATTTTTTCAACGTGATCTCAGCGTATTTTAATCAATTCAATAATATATTTGGATAGAGGTTAAAAAATTACATCGAACTGCTATAGTCTCACTTGAGTTTAACATGTTGAGGTGCACTACGAGCAATGGAAAATGAGGATGCCAAAATTTACCTCACCGTAATCCTGCTCGTATTTCATGACTACAACGTGCTGAGTGTTTCCAATCATTCTCTGATGGATCTTGGAAAGTTACATCAAAGAGATGCTTTTTTCAATGTTTTAGAGATTAGCTTAAATATTAGGATGGTCAAAAATAAAGGGTGGACCTTAAAATTCGAATGTAGGTCAAACTCAAAATTCAATTTCAAATTATATTTCTGAGGGTTGCACTGTCGATATTCAGGATCAACTCAGTCGACTTGATATTTCGAACAACTTAAAAGCGACTGTGCGAGATTTGTAGCCTATATCAACCTTGCCAATCTCATGAGTTATTCCTTGAAAGTATTTTCGATCGAAAAGGGGCTTTAATGAAATTCATCATTTTTTGACAGTATTTACGGCTATTATTATTTGCAATATTTGGGTTTTTGAAGATGAGTGAAGATGCACTACGATTTCTAATTGTTCATTTCATATGAGATTCCGTATTTTAGCAACAGCAAATAATTTTGCTCATTTTACTGAAAATAGATACAGTGCGTGTTTCTGGTAACAACACTTCATGTAAGATACATAGACAATCAAACATTTTCCTATTTTAGCTTGAAAATTTTTTGTGCCCTCGTCAAAAAAATGTTTCTTGATGGATCATGCAATTATTACAGTGATTTAAGACAAATGGTGGAAGGTTTTTCTTTTTTTTTAGTGACATTATTTCAAAAACATCGCTCTAATAGTACATGATAAACTGTGATAACCTAATCATAATGTCGTATTCACATCCTTTTTTTCCCAATAATGCTCCCTTGGTTACAAACATAGTTCTCACGAAACTAAATACAGCATCATGAACAATTGTATATGAATACAATATTGATTAAAGACAATGATGTAAAGTAAGAATCAAACAAAATTGGATTTGAAAAAGTAAAAGATTACAAAACTAAACAGATCTTTACTGCTGTTGAATGCATTTTAAGTGACCTACCTAAATAAATGTTTGTCATAGACATAATCGAATTTGCAATAAAAATGAATTTACTTCTCTCATGTGCCAAAACTAGCATACTGCAGCAGCATTTATTTTTCCTTTTTTTTGTCATAGTTCGATAGAGCAAGAGGAGGTAAATAAGGAAAAACTATATCATATATATTAGAAACCAATTTTACAACAATCAGAATTTATGTCTATTATCCTTATATAAATGAATAATACTTTCTTGGCCTTTGTAAAATTGATTTTTAATATGCATGATATTGTGTTCACCTATGTAACTTGTCTTACTCTATTTAACACAAGGAAAAAAGAAAAGGAAGTGCTACTGCAATTTTGTAGTATGGGCCCATGACAAACTAAATATCTTGCATTCTGATAGTTCAGGCTATGTACGCTATGCACAGTCCATATTTTGAATTAGTTAGTTTGATAGTGAGAACATTTATTTGATCTAAATATGATCAATCTCTTTACCTGGCAGTACACGATTATCTATTATAAGGCAAATTCTCTATTTAATCAAGTGACAGACTACGAAAAGATTTTGTTCGACTTAAAAATAAATTCACACTTTTATTTCTATTAACAGAGTATAGTATGTATATGTTTCTTTTAAGGGTTTCCTCTCAAAAATGCACTTTTTTATTTTTCATCTGATTTCAACCAAAATTTCAGGAAATGTTAGTCTTAGCTATTATAGAGTGTAGGTAAAATATCTCTCTAAATTTCCAAGCTACTTATGAGTTATAGACGATTCATGAATCAAAATTACCCTTTACGCGAGCAGGGTTTTCAAAATGAGGATACGAGCTGACATGTCGAGATGATTTTTAAATTGAAGAGTACCTATAGAGCTAGCTAGGTCGTAAAAGAGCCTAATGTTTCAATTTCTCTTTATTTGTTTTTTAAAGACTTTTTCGAAAATTTCTGAAATTTCTGACCAAAAAAATCGCTAATTAAAATTAGAGATCTAAGTTTTTGTTATTCAAACAGAAAAGAAATTCAAAAATCAGGCTGTATTACGCCTAACTGTCTGCTGTGGAATCCAAAATAAGTTACCATTTTTATATTGAAACGTTACTAGGGAGGGTTTGCCCGCGTAAACAGTATACCCAAAAAAAGGATTTTGAGAAAAGCAAAAAATAAGTTTCAACAGTATAACTCAAGGCTTTCTCTCGATAGGCTGATATAAAAAGGATCTTCGAGTAATTTTGCATAGTTTACTGATTAGAATGCATCAAATGAAAGTACATGAAGATGTAGACGATAATCTTTTTTGCTTTCATATGGATATACTACGTTCACCGAAATACCAACAATGATGAAGTGTTTAGGAAAAAGTTAATTTTTTCTGTATGTAAGTTCAGAAAAAACCTCTGTAATATCCGTAAATCTTAACATGAAATCAAATAACTATAGTGCATTCGAAAATACACGCTTTGCTCTATCTAATGAGTTATAAATCATAAAAATCGAGAAATCGGACCGAAATTGGGTTTCCTGAAGGAGGATCGCGCTTAATTGTCTATGTATCTTACATAAATTGCTCTTATTAGGAATATAGACTATATATAGTGCTGACAACAGATGTTATTACAATATTTTTTATCGAACTGTACAAATTGCAATTGTTTAAAAGTAAAATTGAATACATATATATACAAGATGTTCCAAAAATTTCTTCGTAAAGTTTCTTGATATATATTCACTATTTGCCTTAACTTTATGAACTCTTTTTCTTTGAAATAATAGATGGATATACTGAACTTTCATGTATCCGAGCAAACCTCAACAGTACCCTTCAAAACTTATCACTTCTAATTACGATGAACAAATTTAATCCTTTGTCAATATGTAAACAGACATCATACAACAATTATTGTTGATTTGCTTCGTTTTCTTGAATGTTATTCACACAGTCACCCTTTACATTGTTTAATAAACACAGCTGCTACATTTTCACTCAAAATGGGTCGTGTACTGCTTCGAAATTGCAATACATTCAGCACAACTTACTATTTGATGTGTAATATAAAGCAGACTGATTGGTGGGTCAGTCTTTTTGATGAGTCAACGATTGACACCATGGCGCAATGGCTACCCAGGTCGAGAAATCCGATCGAAATTCATTGGATTGAGTTTATAATCTAGTGACCCGAAATTCGATGAATATTTAACCGGGAAAGGTTCCTGCAAGGAAATTTAAGATCTAACAGGATCAAGCCAGATTTAAATCAATATTCTATACTTTTCTTCTTTCATATTCTCTATCATTTTTTTTATCCATCATATGGCATTACATTTATGATGGCAATAGTAGAACTCTACGGTCTCCTCTTATTATTCCTTGATTAAGCACAGAACATCAAATAAACCTAGATATCGTTATCAGAAGGCAGTTCAAAGATATTACCACCCTTGTCATCAAAAGTGCGCAAAAACTAGGCACTTTATTGTGATTTATAATCTGAGTAAATGCCAGATATTTTTCTCCTCATACGCAGTAAATAATGCAATTTCTTTCAATAAAATAATGCTGATCATTTTGTAACAGAGGGATCTCAACAAAAGAAAAATAATATTCATCTCTATTAAATAATACTTGCCCTTCATTAACATGTTCAAATGTCCTAAATAAAAGAAAAAGAATATTATTACAAACAAACACCTACATTTTATTGAGATTTTCAAATGGCCTCAAGAAAAGAAAAGAAATATTTTTATTACAAATTAACACTTACCTTTCCTAGAGGCGTGTAAGTGACCTCAATAAAAGAGGAAAATTATTTATTATTACACATTGACACTTATCTTTCATTGAGACGTGCAAATGACCTCAATAAAAGAAGAAAAATATTATTACAAACAAATACTTACCTTTCACTGAGAAGTGCAAATGACCTCCATAAAAGAGGGAAGTTATTTATTATTATACATCGACATTTACTATTCATTGAGGTGTGCAAATGACCTAAATAAAAGAAAAGCAACACTAATTTTAATAAAGCAAAACTTACTGTTCAAATTTTTTTACAAAACCGCTGATTAATTGTCAAAAGAGACACGATTTCGATGAAATGAAATACATAATACATACATTTCAGATTTCAGATAGTGCTCGTTTCTTGTCAATCATGTTTTTTATAAATATTAAAACAACTATGGGCGTTGGTGTGAGTATGATTATTCGTCTCAGTTATACTCGCACCCACACTTACGCCCCAAAAGCATTTCTCCCAAACAAGAGTATCGTTATATTTTTTCTTATATTATGCCGTTTTCGGATAAATTAGAGTTCTTGATGTAGGTGAAGTTAGCCTCATATTCGAGTAAATCCAGCCGATATTCGTCCAGGAAGCTGTTCCAGCTCTTTCAACGAGTTCCAGAATAGAATTCGACGAGCTCTATCAGTGATATCTTTGGATTTTTTCTAGCTCAAACAATGGCTCCAAAAATTGCGAAATACTATATTTTCGTATATGAGTTTTGACTCCACACTCGAGTAAAACCAGCCGATATTCGTTCAGGAAGCTGTTCCAACTGTTCCAGCGATTTCCAGAGTACAACTCGACGAGCTCTATCGAATGGTATGCTCAGATTCTTTCTAACTCAAATTATAATTTTAGGTCGATAGAGGGGGCTATAGGAAATCTAAAAATTATAATTTGAGTTAGAAAGAATCTGAGCATACCATTCGATAGACTCGTCGAGTTGTACTCTGGAACTCGCTGGAATAGTTGGAACAGCTTCCTGGACGAATATCGGCTGGATTTACTGGAATATGAGGCTAATTTCACCTACGTGAGTTCTTGTAACTTTTTCATTGCCCAATTTTTTCCGTAGACTGAAAGGCTAGGGTCTAGAAACCGTAATTCACCTGTGTCTGTCTGTCTGCAACACCTGGTACAACTGACCATTTTCATGGTACAAAAGTCCCACTTTGGCGGTACAGGCGACCATTTATTTGACACAATTGGCCCTTTTCATTATACAGATGACCGTTTCTATGGTTCAATTCATCATTTCTACGGCACAATCAACCATTTCTATGGCACAGTTGACCATTCTTATGGCTCAAATGAGCATGTCTGTGTTACAATTGACCATGTCCGTATTAGAAATGGCCATTACTTTGACATGAATCACCATGTTAGTCGTTATAATTAACTAAAGCATAAACTTTATCATATACATTAGCATCTTTCAATATTTTCTGTGAACTATTTGAATCTATCTATAGTATGTAATATACAACATGTTACAAAGATTAATAATTTCTCCTAAACTCATCATTATACAGAATTCATTTTTATTTAAAAATATAAGGACATCTTTGTCATCATGCCGTCAGTCTAGGGCCAAGGGAATCGACATTCAATGTCGATGAACGTTGCTTGTATATATAGATGTTGAAAGTGTGAGTGTGACTGCAATTAGACAAACATCCACACCCACACCCAGAACATACATGCTGTCAACGATCGTCCATCACCAATGCCTCAATCGAATACAGCAATTGATCATCGACAATTTAAATATTCTGAAACCAAATATTTCAATCGAACTCAAAATATAAATTCTATCACCAATAATGAAGGTGGTTGTATTATATCTGCAGGTATCCAATCACTTGCAATTATTGAAATAATTATAACCATAAAAAATTTTATACTTTAGATCAAAAAGAAAAAGAACATAAAGATCAATCAACGGAAATATAAATATGGAGCGTAGCTGAGGTTGAAAAATTTATAAGTTGTATAACCAATTCTTAAATAGGTGCTTTATTTTTGGAGCATAGCATCAATGGTGAAGCATTATTATGAATAAAAACAAGACGATATATGTGACCGAATAAAAATATAACTAGGTCCAGTATTAATAATTTTAAATTAGGTGGTACTATTAGCTGAACGTGTACAAAACTACTTGATTGAACATCTTATAATGATGTTGCACGTTTTTTTCCTCAAATTATTCTTTTTTCTCATCTCATTATTTTTTTTGTGATGTCCTACGACTATAAAAAGTGCATTGTAAAAATTACATTTTCATATACTTTTATATAACTATGTGGAGAGAACATAAGAATAATAAATGAGATATGAAAAATATTTGGCTTTTTTTTATGATAAGACTTCTAATAAAGTGTAGGTTTCTTCAAATGAAGGTAATTCAAGAGGAGTCTGAAAAAAATTTCAGTTAAAAAAAATTAACGTTGACTTAATACTAAGTTATTTTTGTCACTCACTGCAAACCAAATGGGGTGTGGGGTGTATGTATGGATACAGAGAAGAATCACACCCACATCCTCAAAATCCGCCTTTGCTAAATCTACAATTGCTCAATGACGATGTTCATGCACTTCTAATAATTATTGGAAATGATTCATCAATTACGTCGATTATATTAAAGCTTGCCAAACATGTAAGCAAGCAGTGTTCAGAATGGCTCCGATTGTATCAGATACTGGAGATGTTTGAAATAGGATTCAAAGAAATGGAAATAATGTTTAGTGCCTTACGACGAATTAAATCTTAACTTCGAAATAGACTAAGCAACCCGTTACTTGAAATAATTTTGAAAATATTTTGTTTTGTTTTTATGTTCAACTAATGCAAGAAACAATAAATTTCATCATCGAAGATGTCGTTCACAATCATGGTAGAGTCAAATCGAGAAATATAGCTTTGTTTTTTGGAAATCACGAAGAGAAGTCGATAGACTATGGTCTGTTCTAGAGGACAGTTCTCCATATTGTTTTGAGACCTGTGTCTTGTGCTTATAATTTATGTTGATTAGTGAAAAAATAAATATAATTCTGCTTGCTGCTAAAATTTAGCTCCGGCCATCTTGAAAAACAATCGAGAACCATGATCTCTTGCATATTTGATATGTAACGGAACATCCAAGAAAAAGATAAATAACTGCAGTAGTCATTTCTTGAATTCGCATTTCTATCACAAGCGTTTGCTGCCCAATTTTTAAGATGGATGAAAAAATGTCGAAAAAAAATATCGCTAATGATGATCGTAAGCGGTCGTCATCCTCCAACCTTTTAAAAATTCGTCATCTCTGTGTCTCATACTGATGCTATCGTAATATATAGCAACTTAGTTTATCAGGTGCTAATATTAATGATGAAAGTATTTGTATCATGTGCAGGAAGCTTACGGCTCTTGAATTACATCTGCGCTCACTTTTATGTGAAATTTTAGAGAATCTTTATGAAAGTGTACTTTTAGTGTTTTCAACAGAACTTGATTCATTGAGACCTTTATATGATTATTTTGACAATCAATGAATGAAAGAAGTCGACGTTAGTAAATGGAATGTTTATGGAATTCGGATTATAACAAACAACGATACAGGCCTGCAGCATTGGTTGATACTTCAAGACAAGCATAATTCATGGATATTTATACGATTTCATAATCGTCTGAATTTATGTAATGCTGAATATAATCTGAATATAGGAATTTTCATTCGATGTGTGCAAGAAGAAGAAAACAGGTTTAAGCATATCCTGCTTCAAATGATATGTGATCTTGAAACTAGATCGAAAACGCCCACAAAACAAAGCAATATAACAACGTATTCATACGTTATATTTACGCTTTCAAAATAACAATATTACTGTTGTTGAACTCTTAAAGGGATTATCCTATGTAGTCGCGAAAAACACTTCATCGAACAGGAAAAAAAATGGTTCATTACTTTCATCAGTAGCTCGGATATTTAGTTAATTTATTTATCATCTCAATGACACTATGAATGATCCTGTTCTCGTATTTTTCTATTCGATAAATTTCCGAATGATTGGGCAAGATGTTCATGTTAATGATTTTTAATTCTCTTAACATTTTCCTTTCGTCATTTTACCTTCGACATTTCATCGTTCGACATTTTTTTCTTTCTGCTTTTTTCCACCATACCAATTTTTATACTAAGGTAATCTTCGCACGTGTTCTCTTTCAACCTACAAACATATCTCTATTTTATCTTAGATATATCGAGAGAATCATTTTCGAGAGTAACAAGTAAGTTGAGGGTAGAAATTCGTTTTTCGAAATGCCATTTCGAGATCATTGGCGTGATGTCAAAGCTCTACATGACGACGGAATTCCAATCGATACGACAAGCGATGAAGCAGCAAAATTGTTTGATGCAACACTGACACAATATATTGGCTGGTGAGTTAGTTACGTGGATTGTTTTTGCATGTTCAAAGATATTCTTCCTTTCGTCAGGTACAACGACAAGCAATTGGGTGGTATCAAACCCAGTCTATCTCGTCTTCTTGCTTCCGATCCAAATTGCGCCAGCAGTCGTATTCTAGCCGCTGCTCTTGGAATGTTCTCAATGCCTCGTCCATCTGTATTGGCTCATGCGCAACTTGTTGAAACACTCGGTGATGCAGCAACTTCGCCAAATCGCTACATCAATCTTCATGCACAAGCGCTCATCGATTGGTCACTTGGCTATCGAGAGCGCGCTACTGACACATGGGAACTTATCCTTCTCAGTTATCCTTTTGATATCATGACTTTGAAATTTGCACTCGACACTTATTTTCATCTTGGCAACCAAAATATGCTTCGAGATTCAGTTGCACGAGTACTACCTATTTGGGAATCATCATCGCCACATCGTCCACTTAAATCACATTTGTACGGCATGCATGCATTTGGTTTAGGCGAAACAAATATGGTACTACGAGCAGAAAAACAAGCTCGAATTGGACTAGAACTCAATGAACATGACGCGTGGGCCACACATGCACTGGTACATGCTAACGAATATCTGGGTCAAACATCCGAAGGCATTGGCTTTTTGGAGAAAACTGACAACCTTTGGCATCAATGCGATATAATCGCACCACATATCGACTGGCATTGGGCACTATATGAATTGGAACAAGGCAATTGGGAGACGGCAAAAGAAATTCTTCAGCGTTGCTTCTTGAACAACAATGGAACAGAATTAAGTCGATTAAAATATACCGATGCTGCCGCGTTGATCTATCGTCTTAAACTGGCTGGACATCCATATCCATCGCAATCGAATTCTCAATTGAGACAGTTTCTCGAAGTTCATTTGCGTGATCATCAAACACTTTTTAACGATTTTCATCACTATTTCGTCTTGGATAATTTTGCCAATACCGAGATGAAAAAAGATTTTCTTCGTTCACTGAAAGAAACAGTCGAAGCGTCCGATACGAATATCGGAAAATCTTACCGTGAAATCGGTTCGCGTATCTTTGCCGCACTTGAACGTTTTGACGAAGGAGACTATGGTCAAGTAGTGGAGCTTCTGTATCCCATTCGAAACCGAACTGCTATTGCTGGTGGATCGAATGCACAACGAGATATTTTCACTTTGTTACTGATCCATTCGGCAGTATATTCGAATGATAATCAACATCAACAATTAGCCAAACGGTTGATCAATGAACGGTGTCAAATGCGCGGGTCAACGAAATCCAAAATGATGCAAAACTATGCAAACACACTATTGACGAACTGATTTTTTAAAACTTTCGTAGTCTTAATAAAAGGTACATTTCAGAAGAAGATCAGTTATTGAAGCTGTTGAACGTTACTAGAGTTGCAATTCGTATCATTCTTTTGTGTTCATCTGCTTGAACTGTCATGCAATATAAGGCATTTAGCCCAGAGCATAGAACGTGTTATATACTGTGCGTTCTCTCATCATTTGATTATAGGCGCCCTTTTTAAATCGAGTTTTGAGGAAAAGCTAACCAGTCTTCAAATACAAGAACATAGTGGATAAATGCTGTTCAAAAAATCTCGAAAATATCTACATACCAAGCATAAATGTGTATTACTTCGACGTTATTCGATGACAGATTACTTTGTGAGGAATGCACAATATTCACCGAAAGAAGAGAATTATACCATTTACAACAGCAATGCTTCCCTAAAACAACAAAAACCGTCATTCTAATCCATTTTCATCAGTACAAATGTATACTCCACATAAAGAGAAATTCTTCGACCCTTTCTATCCTCACAATGAGAGATCTACTGGACTTAAACAGACATCGATCCTCTTTTCTTTTTCATTCCAAAGAGATTTTCTACCAGATATGATAGTGGATTTAAGTTAAGAAAAGAAATACCCACACCTTTGATTTAACTACCTATTTTATATGAAGTTAAGGCAATCTGTTCGACATTAAGGATCGAATTGGCCGACTTTGCCTAAAAACAGATCAATGGATATAAGGAATAAGCCAACTTATATAGACAATTGGATTATTTGTGTAATAAAGCGGTCCATTTGTAAACAATTTCGCTGAAATCGACTGTTTTCTGTCATAAATCAATCAGCTTTGTTTGAAAATTGAATTTATTTTTGTTATTAAGAAGTCCATTCGTATAATAGATAGGTATATTGGTATTATAAATTGGTCTAGTGAACTAAAATTTGCTGCAAATTAATTGATTTTTGACAATAATCGATACATTTATATAACGAATAGTATATATTATTCTTTGAAGAATGGAATAGTTTCCTTAGTATTTTACAACAAGAAAGGAACTTGCTTTTAAATTTTTCGCCCCATTTATTTTGAAAACAATAGTATATCTTGCGGAAAATAAATTCTTTTTCGAAATGTAAGATCTTTTTTTAATAAAAAAATGCATATTTTAGATGTTTGCTTCCACTTAAGATGAATATTTTACTATACTACGGATCGTACCGGATAGCTCAACTGGCCTACTTGCTCATATCATATGTGATAATCCTTGGTTCGGAACTATTTTAAGGCAACAAATAGAATAAGAGGAAACATATATCAGCTGTATGGGAGAAAGAAAAAAAAATAGTAGAAGAATATCTATCCGGTACGTGCTGTAAAACAATAGTGATGAATATTGGCTACTGTAAATTGTGTTGTAGCACCTAAACCTATAAAATGGTCCCCATCAGATATGCCTCTAGACTACAGTTGAGCTCCCGACAGTTGAGTTCCCGACACTTGAGCATCCTATTGAAAAAATTTTAAACAATACAAAAAAATATTTTATTTGAATAAATTCAAATTCACATCAATAATTGAAGATAGCTGTCTTCTTTAAAGCACAAGTTTCTTATTATCAAACGAAAAACATGCTATTTTTTGCAATTGCTTCTTCAAAAGTCAATGTTTTGTACATTTCTTTAGTTTTGGGTACAAAAATAGGTTTTCCTTTTCTCTTAATTCACACTTACATTCGTCTGAATGCTAGCGCCGAGATATTAAGCTACTATTAATTGCTTATGTTACACATTTTTAAAAGCGACACAGTATGCGAACTTGATATTGGTCGAACAATTACAAGTAGAACTTGTGAAACTAAAGAAACATGGAAAATTTTGACTTTTGAAGAAGCAATGACAAAAAATAACTTATTTTTCGTTTGATAACAAGAGACTTGTGCTTTAAAGGAGGCAGAGCTATCTTCAATTACTGATGTGAATTTGAATTTATTCAAATAAATTTTTTTTGTACTATTTAAATTTTTTTTCATGTGAGGCTCAAGTGTTGGTGGGCTCAACTGTCGGAAACTCAACTGTCGGTGTACTAGTATTGCCTATGAAATGTCTGTTGGATGAGAAGGCATACTCGCATGATGCCGGAAAGATGAAGAAGAATGCCCGTGGGATGCCTGGAGGATGAAGGGGAATACTTGCGGGATTCCTTGCTAAAGCAGAGATATGTCTGGTGGATGCTTGGATAGTGGTACTTGGTGATGTTTTGATAAATCTTCATTATCATAAAAATCACTGGAAGTCTTCTCTTGTTCCCGTTCATCAGTGTCCCTTTTGACGACATTTTTCTCCATAATGATTGATTGATATTTAGACGAAAATAAAAATATTGTTTTTTTCTGATATCCAGAACAAAGAGAGATGCAAATATTATTTTTGAAAAATAATGATTTAAGATGCAGATTTGAAAAGTAGCAAGAAACGACTATTCGGACTACAGCCTGTTGCGCAAACTATAATATCAAAACATTGTTTACAAAACATTGTTCGTTTACTCTTCCTAGTATACTTCGACCGATTGGTAAATTCAATCTGGTTATAGTTCACTAATTAAACGTTGTTAACCCTTGGAGTACCAGCCGGGGTCATTTTTGACCCCACGCTCGAAATCTCCGAAAAATGCTAAACATGTTTTGTTGTTTCGCAGTTTTCAGCAGCAGCTAGTAACCTTTACGAAGAGATATATGATAATGAATCTAGAACGAAATACATTCTTTCTCCATATTAGTGCGCCCCCTTAGTAAAACATTGTATCAGTAATATGTTTTTTACAAAACGGAGAAACAATGAAAATTCTAATGTCTAATAAAATGAGTCATTCTCTGATCTAAAGGGGTGTGCATTTTCAATCCATTGAAATATTTTTCATAAAGATTATGGACAGTTAAGTGAAACCGGAAGCGACAGTGATTATTTCGATGATGCAAACAGCGGTTCGGAAACGGGAGATGGCGAAAGCCAAACATCCGACGATGATGATGAAATTGATTTAGAAAACCTAAAATTAGACGATGACTCCACATGGAAAAGTTCGTATACTTCCCGTTCTGGAATGATTTGGTCCTCAACTCCTCATCATTCAACGAAAAATGATTTTTCGAATGATGTTATTCAAAAAGCTGGTCTTACAAATACCAGTGAAAATATTTCATCTGTCGAAGATGCATTCATGTGTTTTATGCCAAACAAACTTCTGGAAAAAATCTTGGATTATTCAAACTTGGAGTATACTCACAAGAATACCTCCACGAAAAAAATTGAAGAAATAACACTCATAGAATTGAAAGCATTTATTGGACTTTTATTGCTTGCTGGTTTATTGGGGAAATCGAAGATCGATCTGAAATGCTTATGGAGAAGAAGTCCATTAGAACCGCCAATATTCAAAGCCACTATGTCAAGAACTCGTTTTCAGGATATTATTTCTTGTTTGAGATTTGACGACAAAAGAACAAGGGAAGAAAGAAAACGAACAGATAAATTTGCAGCAATTCGTGAAATCTGGTCATATTTCCAAAATTGCTTACAAACATGTTACACACCGGGATCAAATGTTACTATTGATGAACAACTACTAGGATTTAGAGGAAAATGTTCCTTCCGTCAATATATGCCAAAAAAGCCTGACAAATACGGATTAAAATTTTGGCTATGCGTTGATGTGGACTCACATTATGTATTCAATGCATTTCCTTACGTTGGACGACAACCGAATGAGCAAAGACAAACACAGATAGGTGCCAAAGTCGTTCTAGAATTACTCAAACCACTTTACGGCTTCCAAAGAAACGTTACAATAGATAATTTCTTCACAAGTGTTCCATTAGCCCAAACGCTTCAAACAAAGAATCTGACTCTTATAGGAACACTGCGAAAAAACAAGTCAGAAATACCTATCGAGTTTCAATCCAACGAAAATCGTGAAGTGGGTTCTTCGCTCTTTGGTTTCCAAGATGGTTTAACCTTAGTTTCATTTGTCCCAAAACAGAATAAAGCTGTTTTATTGCTCTCCTCAAAACATCACGACAATCAAGTGGACAATAAAACTGGAAAACCGATCATTATATTGGATTATAACAAAACAAAGGGGGCTGTCGATACTGTTGATCAAATGTGTCATAAATACACGGTAAAAAATATTTCAGTATTTCTATAGCTTATTTTACTTTTCAGGTAAAACGAGGTACAAAGCGATGGCCAGTTTGTATTTTCTATGGGATGATAGACATTGCTGCCATAAATGCTCTGATTGTCTGGAAAGTGAAAAATCCTCAATGGAATCAGAATACAAATCATAAACGTCGATTATTTTTGGAAGAATTAGGATTAGCACTGGTATCGCATCTGTTGGATTTTCGTTCGAAGAACTCGAAATTTTTGAACACAGATATTCTAAATGCTTTAGCAATCGTCGGTTATCCTGTGTCGAAGAACGATCCGGCAGAAGCGAATGAAAATCCCACTCAACCAAAACGAAAAAGGTGCTCCATTTGTGAACGTTCTACGGACAAGAAAACATCAATTCAATGTTTCAGTTGTTCTTCGTTCGTTTGTAGTGATCATTCTGTCAAACGTGTCTTTTGTATTAATTGTTCTAAATAAGGAACATCGTTCTCATTTTTTTCTATAGAATAAAACAAGAAAAGGTCAGATCTTACGAAAATATTGGCTGAAAAGTAAAAGGATTATTAAAAAAGAACACATGTCATCAAAATCACGGTTAAAAGAGGCCGGTACTCCAAGGGTTAACAGCAACGTTTAGGTAATCACTTTAAATTTTGTTGGCATTTCGTGCGACCTGTATTGAATAAGGACATGAAGTATTAATCAATCACTCATATAAATAATGGAAGACGTCCTTTTTCTCTAACAATGGAACCTTTTTGTACTGATCATCAAGAAGATTGACCATATGTTGGTCAAATGAAAACTCTCACCGCCAAACTAATAAATTTAAAATATTACATGCCCATAGCATACCTAGAGCAAGTTACTTAAATTTCAAGGTACGTGAAATTTAGCTATAAAAATGAGTAAGGAAAGATTTTCTCCACTATTGCCAGAACAAAACATAGTGTTGTTCGGGTCGATTAGAGGATTTGGAGGGATCTTCTTTCATAAGGTCCGAAAACAATGTTTTGTCATGATAATAGTAGAGTCAAATTTTTCTGATTCATTTTTATACCTAAATTTCACGTACCTTGAAATTTAAATAACTTGCTCTAGGCACGCTATGGGCACGTAATATTTTAAATTTGTTAGTTTGGCGGTGAGAGATTTCATTTGATCCGACTATGGTCAATCTTCTTGATGATCATTACAAAAGATTCCATTGTGAGACACAAGCGAATAAACAAACAAAAAAGACATAAGAACGCAAAAAAAAGCGAAAGCTAGTGTCAAATCCATTTCATAGAGGCTCATACAAACACACAAACAAACAAAGAAAAGCAAAAACAATGAATCAGAGAATCTGATTCGTCTCATAGCTAAAATGTCTCACTGTCGGATTGATTGAAAGTACCCTCGATATCTATGAATGATGATTGGTCAATAAACTCATCTACTAGTACTTCTGCTGTTGCTCGACGATGTTCATTTGCGTCAAGGCATCGACGTTGAGCATCCTTGAATTCATTGAAATGACCAAAAAGTTGAAGAGGTGGACCACCGGATGCTGAATCCAATGTACTGGATGCTGATGGAGCTTGACCCTGTAAAAATATTCGTCCGAGTCTACAATAATGCAAAAAACAAAACTCTTCTTTTCATATTTTTTTGGTGTTGTCTTTTGAAGTTTTAATCTTTTACCTATCTGATACACAAAGGCTCATCAAGTCCAGTTGTTAGCGTCGTGTTTTTCTTTGTTAATGACAGATGTTGCTGTTAAGGAACCTTCATCACCCGGATTTACCAAAATGATGGATGGCATTGTGCCGTTGATCGTCACAGTTGACTGATATTTGTCAGTAATCTGCAATTCATCAAAACAAAATTACTACTTCATTCATTTTCTCTTCACATGTATGCAAACTTCCTTACAGCAACCGGATCATTAGCTGAGAGCAGTCTTTCTTGTTAGGAAAGTTACGCCTTTCGAATTCATCCCACGGTATATCACCAGATACTAGATATAGAGCACTGTCACTCCAAGTACTCAAGTTCCATCGAGCCTTGAAATAACATACTCGACCAGACGATAACAATGCAAACGGTGTTTTGCCTAAATTATATAGTAAGTAATAATGTATAATAGTATTAAGATTTGATGATCAGATTTATTTCTTTTTATTTATCTTATCGACTCTTGTAGGACCAATGAGGATGAAACATTTTGGACGATGTGGATTTTGAAAATCATCTTTTATCCATTCGGTTATTGCATCATCTGTAAATGTACACAATCTAAAAGACTGCTAAAAATGAACGAAAAAAGTTAAGTTTCATCGAGTGAAAACGTACGAGGCTGCAGTACACAATTAGAAAATGAGAATTCAAATGAATTCTTTTTCTGGAATACGTTGTTGTTGTTTTCGTGCTTATTTGTTAATGTAGTTGAATAATTTTTGATAATTTTAAATGAAACAGAAAGAGAGAGAGAGAGAGAGAGAGAGAGAGAGATGTATATTTTTCCTCTTGCACACATCAAAAAGAATTCAAATATTTAACTAACTTGTCGCTACGTCGCATGACTTCATACGACAACTTCTTTTGTACGTACTTCATGCCCTTTGAAACACTGTTTTCCGCAATAGTAAAAGTTGTATTAGCAGTCTCATTCTTGCGCTTGCGGTGATCATCAACTTACGCCTAAACCATCATTCGTTTGATTGGTGATAGTAGAAGCAACAAACTCGAAAGATTGCTATTGTCAATTTATGAATTTACTCGCGTTGAAGGTCAGTATTGATTAGGATAGATGTCTGTACTAATGAATGAACCTAATGAAACTGTTGAAGATATTTTCTTATAGTCATTCAATTCGTTTTTTTTACTTGTCTATATTTTTCATTATTTCAAATGAAAGGACGTTGCTCAAGAATGGCTTTACCTTTCTTAATGCAGGCGTTCCACGCGCAGTTGTTCATTGTGACTTGGTAATTGCAATAAACATCTATTCCCAATTCGAACATTCGTGAGCTCCAAGAATGTACCTGTTTACGAGGCACAGTAGTGTACTTGTCCAAAAACCAATTCGTTGTGTTCACTGGTTTTGTCAAAGTAATTAAAACATGAAAATATCTATTTAGTCAAACAAATGTAGAAATCTATAATGATAAATTTTATATTTTTATGGAAATTTTCGATCGTATACGATCATTTTCAACCAGTTAACAGGACTATAGATGTTACAAAACACAAAACAGAAAAAACAAATAAACAATCAAGATAATAGATAAGAGAAATGAAAACATTATAATCAATAACATCATAAACATAAACTTCTAAAATTCATGTTCTTGAATCAAAATTATCATTGCATTAAATCTCATGTAGTATTTGTTTTCATACATAATAATTACACATTGAGTAGAACTATAAACATGAGTTATATAAGTAGGTATATAGGTATTTGCAATAAAACTCATTTATGATTGATAATAACTCAATAAATGATACTTTATTATTAGTTACATTGTTATGTTATTTATTTTAAACCTATCATTAATTTCATTTATGTTATTAATTTTCATAATGTTATGACATTGAATTATTATTACATTCAATTATATTGATGATAACTTTAATTCATTAATATGAGTTTAGAAGTTTATGTTTATGATGTTATTGATTATGATGTTTTCATTTCTCTTATGTATTATCTTGATTGTTTATTGGTTTTTTTCTCTTTTGTGTTTTGTAACATCTATAGTCCTGTTAACTAGTTGAAAATGATCGTATAAGATCGACACTTTCCATAAAAAAATAAAATTTATCATTATAGATTTCTACATTTATTTGATTAATTAGATATTGAATTAAATCTCATGTAGTATTTGCTTTCATACATAACGTGAAAATGATGCTCTGATTATGCACCTGCCACGTCGCTCGACGCACAAACATACCGAATGCTATCCCGATTAAACTCTCGAAGAATATCCTCAAGTGATTACCGTTGTGTCATAAACAAAAACAATATACGAACACCTTAGCAGAAAAAACAGGTATTTTGATCTTTTTTTCAGTAACCAGTGAGCAACTGGTTCACTGAGAAATTTTTAGATATTGTCTTTTGAAATAATACAATGTTTTTCTCTTATAGTTGTCAACGATCTGACATTCACATGTACACCAATACAACGAGACAACATTTTAAACAAAAAACTTCGCTTACCTAAGAGCCACCTTTTTATTTTTATTAACTCATTTGCATTACTTCATACTAAAACAGACTATATATTCTCTAAATTCATCCATTTTATTGTCAAAAAATGATTTAGCTAGTAAAAGTCTTGTTATGGATTGCATTGTCGGAAGAAAAACATATTATTTCTCTTGTTTGATGTAATCGTTGTTGAGAACAATCCCAGACATTTCATATCGTTTTATGTTTCTTTGAAATGTTTCGATATGTCTTGTTCAATGTCAAATACGTCTCCTGGCTTGTAAATGCACACAATCACTCTTGAAAAGCGTACGCAGGAGTGTGGGGGTGGGTATGGATGTTGTTCTTGTTTCGCCCACACCTACTCCGACCCATATATCCTAAACCATTAAGTAATTATAAAAAAATTCTTGATGACACTTGATATAGTACTGTTCATGTGAAGTCAAATTATCGTCAGAACAATATGAGCAAAGTTGAATATTTTCTCTTTATGTATAACAGAAAAACTGATTTATCTATCGAAGTAAGTTTCTGACAACACAAAAAAACTCAGAATATTCATAAACGGGTTATCATTTCTCATACTCTCAAATTGTCATAGTATTGTTTAGAGAAATGTTTGAGATGTATGTAAGATATGAACCTCGTATTTTAATAAACGCTCCTTACGGCTAGTATCATATAGTGCATATATATGAAATAGATTTGATTCACCTCTGACTTTCATGTATGTACTCGTGTTCGATATTTTGAATTGAGCACTGTGTAGAAAAGTACATAGGATTTGTTTAATAAATCCAATCAAACAATACTATACTGAGCTTGGTTTTTGCAAATAAAAATGTTTTATCATTGAAGTGTTCAAGAATTGTAAACGGTCAGAAGATTTTGTCATTCCTGCGTCTAAAACTTTTTCTCAGTTTTATATCATATTTAGATAGTTCTTGATAACCAACGACGACAGCAAATTGTTGAAAACAGAGCACGCTTAAAGCCTATTATTGAAACAATTCTGTTATGCGGTAAACCAAGTTTTCCTTTACGAGGTGTAGGTGTCAATTCAAACATTTCCGTTAAACATCTCCATAACCACCAAACATGCACCCTTTGTTCATTTTTTTCGTCAATATTTTTCTTCTTCTCATTCTTTCTGTTCTGGAACAATCTTGTCGACTCCAAGAAATTCAGAGTTTTTTTCGTAACTTAGCAACGTCTAAATTATTTCAGTATTAAAGATTATGAAGAAATACCTAGATAAATGAATCACTTGAGATCGAAAAACTTATATTAGTATAAAAGTTCCTATTCATCTGATCGTTTTTTAGAAACCACAGCAACTTCTGAAGAATCTACTAGCACAATTCCTAAACAACAACACTTTGATGTTGAAGATAGTTTCAGTGATTGAGATAATACGAATATTTTCTTGACTTAGTATATTTCCTCTTTTATGCTTTCTACCAACGATAAAATGACTGAGAATCGTATTATTGATCTAAAATGTAAAGTTTGAGGTTAGAAGTTCTTTCATATATATATATGTATATGAATAGTACAAGTGTAGACATTTATTATATCAAAAAAAAGATTAATATAAAGGTACAAAGTATTAATATACTTCTTGAGTCTTTTTAATACATGTTGGAATAACACTTCATGATAGGTTGTTACAAGTTTAATCAATCACGTTATCTGGCTTATAATATGCTACAGCACTATATTATTGGACAGATAGTAGTCCTAATTTTAACGCTATTGAACTTGTCTGGAGCATTATCAAATTGAAAATTAAAAAACAAGGATGAACAGTCACAACGTGAACTAGAGAATACGGTTGATGAAGATTGTAACAGCCTATCACGAAGTGTTATTCAAGCATGTATTAAAAAGACTCAAGAAGTATATTAACACTTTGTACCTTTATATTAATCTTTTTTTGGTATGTTAAATGTCCACACTTGTACTATTCATATATATGAAAGAAAATTTCTTGTGACATTAAACTCTATATTTTAGATCAATAATACGATTCTAAGTCATTTTGTCGTTGGTAGTGTTTGCTAATGTAAATATTTATTCGATGATATTAATCTTTTCTAAAATCTGCTGATATTAAATAGTAGTATAGTTTTGTTCGTTAATCAACATAAGAAGAATAAAGTTTTGTTAAAATAGAATACAAAACTTTACTATTTGTTGATGTACTCAGAGATTGACTCCGAAAAAAGTTTTCTTCAATTCTTTTATTGCAGTGAACCCAGTTGAAAAATTTTAAGGATTTAATCAGAATTATTTTGCACCAAAATCAAAATTAAAATCGATTGAAATCTTCGATTATAATCGACTATGATTGAATCAAAACTTGATTCTATTGCTTATATAGTGAAAATTTTCCCGATTAAAATCTGATTATTTTGAAACAAAATCATAGTTATAATCGGATTGGTAATTTCGATTTTGCTCCAGAATAATTAGATTTTAATCGGGAAAATTTTCACTATA